TCTGTTGATCTTCATCAAAGGCCATCAGCATTGATATGTCCTGCTGCTTTTCCCTTTGCCTCTTTGGTGTGGGCTCACTTTCCTCTGCGCCACTGCTGTCCTCTCTCTGAGCAGTAGCTTCTTCTGTTGGAGATAAACTCTCAGCCAGATCCGACACCGTTGTGTATGCATCGTCCCGTTTCTCTGCACCGAGGAATGACAAGCTCTTGAACCGCGGGTCAAGGACTGCAGCTTGAATATACATGCTGCCCTCCAGACTCCCTGTGAGCTCCCAACTTTCGTCGATTGCCTCTGTGATTTTTTTCTTAACTGCATTCACGTTCGTGCTGTCATCATCACGACTCAACAAGTGGCGCCTCTTCATGTTGACGAGCATCGGCAGCATAGCAGACAGAGATGCGTTTATATCTTGTGAGAGCAGCTCGGTGAGGGTGATCATGGGCCTCAGCACGGAGACAATGTCCTCCGCTGTCCTCCATTGGGCAGTTGTGAGATCCAGATCTCGGTCAGACTGGTGGGTGGTCCCGGGTTCTGAAAGCACAGCTGTAACCGGACATCTCTGTTCCAGAAGACGCTCCAGCATTGAATAAGTGGAGTTCCATCGTGTGGACACATCTTGTATCAGTTTGTGTTCAGCCACATTCTGTTGCTTCTGTTTCAAAGTGAGAGCTGCTGTTGCCTTGGCACTTTTTTTGAAGTGTCCCACAAGGCGTCTGGCAGCAGCAATCACTCGGCAGATGGGATCTAATTTAACAGCCGCGTTTATGCACAACTGCAAGGTGTGCCCCGCACAACGAATTCCCTGGACATTACCCCAGGACGGGTTTTGAGATAGCTGTTTAGCGCACAACACCATATTAGCGGCATTGTCGTGTACCACAGCGACCCTCTTTTCTGGCGGAATCCCGAACTCCTCCATCACTTCGCTGAGTCGCTCTGCTATGTTGGCAGCTGTGTGGCTCACCTCCAGCACTTTAGTCTCCAACACGAATGAATGTAATTGCCATTTTTGGGAAATAAAGTGTGCCGTCACAGTCATGTAACCATCCATTTGGTTGGAGGTCCATGTGTCAGTAGTGAAGCTGACTGCTGTGCAGGCTTTAAGTTTCTCCAAAAGTACCTGTTTGGTCGTGTTATATTTGTTTTTAATGGCGTGCATTACGGTGTCACGTTTGGGTACAGTGTAACCCGGTTCGATGAATTTCATCATCTGTTTGAACCCTTCCCCCTCGACAATGTTTACAGGTCTCATGTCCAGTGCCACAAAATCTGCAATTTTGTCGGTGATGTCTCTCTTCCTTTTCTCGGAAAGAGGGGGCTTCAAAACGAGTGTTGTCTGTGAGAGTTTCAATGGCGGCTGCGAAGATGAAGTTGAGGTAGATGCGGTGGCCCTATCAACGTATAGTGGATGAGCCTATTGAGAGAAATGCACATTAATTTAAGTTTACACTAAGCCTAATAGCCCATATAATATGACAATACATTTTATCTAACAGGCTTTTTAGAGCGTCAATATTTTAATGGCTTGAACGGTACTTACATGTTTCAGGTGATAAGTCATGTTTGTAGTTGATGAATGATAGGAGAATATTTGCTTGCAAAGTTTGCATATCACCTTCTTCGGGTTGTCAGTTACTTTTTCGAAATGCTCCCAAGCTCTTGATTTTACGCCTGACATGGTTAAAACTATCAGCTTATCTGACGTGAAAACAAGTGACTGACTGTCACCTCCTGTTTCCGTGTTTTTTTTGTTGTTTTTTTTCTCAATTTTTTTTCTGCGACCAACGACCAATTAAATCTTGACCGACCAAAGACTCTTTGGCCGACTAACCTTTGGTCGACTAATCGGGGGGCAGCCCTACAAATGATAATGTAGTTGTAATGCTAATACCAATATTACAAATACAGTACAACCAACTAGTTCATACATTTACTGTAAATAATTGACTTGGCAATGTAATCATGTTTTCCCCTGGAGGCATCAAAACAGCCTGAAAAGCATAGCTAATATATTACATCAATACAAACAATGCAACGATTGAGAAAAAGGTGTAGCAGGGTGTTTTCAAACGGAGACAACACAAAGCAAATGGAGACTGGATAGCAACCACAATCTGACATTTTAACCTCCTTGGTTTTTCTTTTTCTTGTTCTTAGAGAAAGCTCAACAGTTACAACCGAGACCTCAGAGGTGACTGGCCTTTTGTTCATTTGCTGTCACTCACTTATATGGAGAAAAGGTTTTCCCTTGTGCCTTAGTACATCCAGTGAAAAGTGAGCCACTGCTAGAAAGCATGACGAGGCAACTCTTTGCAGAAAAGGTGATACCTCAGGGGTTAATGCCATGACATTTTCCTTCATTGTGGTGCAGTCTCATTGTTTTCGATGTGCTGAAGACCTTTTCAAGTCTAGTCAGGTGCAACATGTGCGATATTTTCAGAGAGTAGTGGGGGGTGGCACCAAATAAGCAGGTAAGAAATGAAGTAGAACAATATTTGATTAAATAGATTCAAAGCGTACAATGTTGTACATCTGCAGTGTAGTGATATTTATGGAAGATTTTTATTTAAAGTTTCGAAACAATAGGCTTTGTGTTTTGCACTATAAGTAAAACCAAGCAGGCTGTGGAGGTTATCTGCTGCAAATGCAACTGATGAATACATTCTGCATTACAGTTTGGGTGAATTATTTTACAGCTATTTCATTACCTTTGCAACCCGTTTCTTTGTTACTGTAATAACTCATTTTTACAATACCTTTTGGTCTCACCAGAAGACAAGCCAGTGTGTTAAGCTTGCTGCATAGCGCTATAGAGTAAAAATACAAATAATAAAAAGCTATGGATGCAATGTTGTTGTCTCGGGGATGAATTAGGAAATGTTCAACTGCATTGTAAAAATATAACAGAGCCCTATAACTATGCCTCTGTTCATGGTGCTTAAACACACACACACACACACACACACACACACACACACACACACACACACACACACACACACACACACACACACACACACACACACACACACACACACACACACTACTCAAAGTGGAACTCGTAGCGTTTATCTTCACCCAGGGACAGATATTGTCTGAGCAGCAAACATTAGATGAATAGACCCATAAAAGGCTACATAGAAGTTAATTAGTGATCACTCATGCAGGTGAAACCGACCTATGTCCTCCTCATTCTCTTCTGCTCTCTCTTTTTGTCCTGTAAGCTGAATGTTTTGCTTGACAAAGTCATTTCCATTTCTGCCTGTCTTTTATATGACACCAGGCTTTGTAATTGATGATTGAATGGTTGATGGATAAAACATGGGCTGCATGGCTTCTGGTGTAGCTCTTGTCATGCCCTATTAGCACATTTATGCTGCACCTTGAATATTGATGGAGTAGAAAAGTGCCCAGAGCAGAAAAAAACAGAAATTGTTTGTGGCAGCATGAAGCCACGTCTCTGTAATGATGGCCATTAGGAAGGTAGTGGCAGAGCACACAGCAGGAAGGCAAATGAAGCAACATAAAGAGAAGAAGAAAGATGACTGTATTTATTGTCCTTTTTTTCTTTGTTTACAATACCAGTGCCACTCACACCAGCTTTCATGAGGAAGGTATCGGTTTTGTGGTTGTTACTGCACAATACAGACCCCCAGCGGTGTAGATTCCCTTCATTATTTGAAATCTACCCCACCTGCCTTGCCAGTTGAATTGGATCTTTTTCAGGTGTTGTAGTGGATGAGGAAGGGTCAGGCAACCCTGGGGGTTTTGTTTAGTGAGGTGGCAGCAGGTGAGCGACTGTGATACAAAAGAGAAATACTGGCTAGACTTGCTGGTGGGTTTGCTTGTATCTTTTAAACAATTGACAAACATAAAAAAGCAGCAATAACTGAAAACCCTCAAACAAGAAATTGGATACAAAGTAAACTTCATATCAATGTGTAATTAGTATTATGATTAAATATTGGCAGCAGCAAAATGACTGGAGTCATTTTTGTTCCCAGTTAATGAATCAAATATTAGCTGTCCTTTAAGCTTGGATTTGGTCTCCACCAACTCCCGAGCAACCTCCACTATCAATTCAAGCTCCACTGTATTCCTCCCCTATCAATATAGCTTCCGTTTGCCTCCATATCTGTACACAGAATCATCACTTTATAATTTAATTATATCATACATGACTGCTGTTGCCATATTGAGCACACTGTATACATTTTTAAGTTTCAAAGAAAAGGGTTTTGTGAGGTCAGAGTGCACTTTGATATTCTACCGTAACATCATATTCTACTCGGGTCATCTTTCAGTCGAATTGGAAATGTATCCAAATTGGAAGCGTTCCTGAAATATGACCTTTACAAGAAAAAATCAGGCGGACAGACAGTCTTGAAACGTCACGCCTCCAATTAGGGTTGCAAGAGGAATACACATATCTAGCTCTTTAGCTTTTAGATGTTCACTATCTTCAGTTCACTTTGTCTGTCTGCTGTCTGGTGATGGGCAGGTGAATTACAGTGTGTTTCTAGGCGCTTACTGAAAACAGTTACTTTTAAGATTTGTGTTGAACAAATTACATTCTTGTCCGTTGGCCTCATTGTATGTGCACAGTTCAAGCTTAGTTTCTGCAGCAATGCATTTGACCTTGCACTACTGCAATTCAAAACTAGCGTAATTCCATTGTAATACAATCATTTTAATTCAAACAAATGTGCCTGTATGTTGGGAAGGAAATGGGTGTTCCACTAGAATGCTGGGTTCATGTTGTGTCCATTTTCATTTCCTATGTATTAGAATTGAGTGATTAAAACTGTTTCTTTCCTGGGAGTGAGATTCCCTGGTGGTTTGTTCTTTGCAAAGTCCTCTACATGTTGTGGCACACTCATTTCCTTCTAGTAAGAAATGCACAGATGCATGAAATATGAAGCAAAAAGAGGAGAAAAAGTGATGTAATTGTGGGACAAGTATACAGATATTTTACTTGTTAAAGAACAAAACTAAGCAGAAACAGGAACTTATGACAACCTCAGATTCACATTTTAACCCAAATATTGCAGACACACATCAATGTTAAATAAGCCTCTATGATGATCCTTTCCACAGAAAGGCAGTGTTGGCGGTTCCAGTTCACTGACCTCCTCCTACAAATCAATCAGAATTCCCCACATCGCTTACACCATCAATCATAATCATTTGCAATTAATTATTCTGAGCTAATTAAGAGGTGGCACAAAAAAAACAGATACTGCCCACAAATTGAATTAAACTTAAATGGCTGTGGTGTTGAAGCGCTTTATTTTAAATGCCTTCACCGGCTCATTAAATTCGGCCTGTCTGTCAGTCATCACTGCCTCTCAAACTCAGCTGTTGCTAAGAGCAATTTCATGTTTCCAGCATGTAATTACATTTGCATTACATATTCTTGAATTTGTACATATGCAATTATATATATATGGGAGTGCAGTGCATTGTCCATGTTGTGGCAGCAGTGGAGTGAAGGGAAGGAGATGCACAGCTGACATTACTATATTTAATTTGCTAGCATTATAGGAAAAACATTTTTTTATTGAACCCTGGTAATATATTAGAAGGTTTTTATTTGTGTGTGTGTGTGTGTGTGTGTGTGTGTGTGTGTGTGTGTGTGTGTGTGTGTGTGTGTGTGTGTGTGTGTGTGTGTGTGTGTGTGTGGAAACCTTCGATAGAAAAGCAGAACATCTTGACTTCTACTTCAATTAATCAAGTTCTCCTTAATGGTGCTCAAGCTCTTTTGGGAGAAACTCTTGATTTCCAGGTAATGAGATGAAGAGCTTTTGTGTGATCCATCAACATGTTGTGGTTGATTATATTTTCAGACACTGCAGCTAAAAGAAGAGTTGATGGAAGTTTTATTGGTTTGTATTTCTTTCTCTCTTGCCTTAAAGGGGTTGAACCAGATGAGAAAGGTTGCTCAGGTGGGAATTGATGGTGTGCGGCGGACAGACTGGCACGACTACGAAGCGATGATGAGGGATGCTGCTCGCTCAGGTAGGTCCGAACTCTGTGCTGACGCTGCTGTTTAGTTTGGGCACGTTTTGTTGAGAACATCTGCTGTGTTTCAGAACAAACACACACACACACACACACACACACACACACACACACACACACACACACACACACACACACACACACACACACACACACACACACACACACACACACACAATTCAGCACTGTTTTTTCAGCAGTCTTTTCCCTTTCCTTTATTCGTCTCTGTGAGTCAGTGGGAATCAAGGCTGAGATTACAGTTCTTAGTTCATAATTAAACACAGTTAATCTTCTAAAATAAGCATTGATCCAGTCTTAGGGCTTGAGTGGGAAACATACCTTTGCCTCTTTGTTACAAATGCAACAGATTTAACTTCCCTTTATATGGTATTAGCTGGTACTTAAGAAGCAAAGTCACTGGATTTCTGAGAGATTGCCAAGTTGTCTAAGACAATAAGACCTGTAATTGGGCGGTGAAAGGCACATCAAGAGATGACAGAGTTGTAAAGAAACTTAAAAAAACACTTGACATATGAAAGGAAACGCGTTAATAACTTGCAGTTTAAGTACTTTAACTGCTTGTATGGACATGGTCTCCCGGAGGATCAGCAGAAAAGATTAAAGGGGCCATTTCATGCTTTTTAGGGATTTCCCTTTCCCTGCAGTGTGCAGGTTCTACGCTGTAATAAGGATGTGTTTTGAATTCACTACCATGTGTCATATCCAATTGAACTTAACAAAGAAACCCCTAAATGTGTTTCTCAAGATTCAATACATCCTTATTATATTGTCTTAGAGCCTCTGTTTCATTGAAATCACTTGAAAAGTGAATCACTAATCATTATTGACTTTACGTCAGTAGACATTCTCTGAACCTTTTGAGGAGTATGAAGTAGGAATGTGAGGATCATATTTTGCTTGAACATTCAACAGAGAAAGGCACATGACGAGCCTGAGTTTGAATATTTTAGCCGCAAGGAGAGGCAGACATACAAAAAGAGAAAGCAAGTGTCTCAATATTCAACCTATAATAAGCCATATAATAAGCCAAGTCTTAAAGTTTCTAATGTGCATTGCCCTACAAAAACTCTGGAAGAACATAATTATCAAAAAAAAATTCAGGGTATATATGCATAAGAATAGAAAACACCATTTAAGTGATCTATGTAACAAGTTTATAATGCAGGGAAAAGCACAATGTTAAGTAGAAGTGTTTATCTCCGAAATGAGCCATTAAAGTGAGGAGTTATTTTCCACAGTTATTACCTTCAGGAATGCAGGCCGATCATTTATGCCTAATGGAACAAGGCAGCTCAATTTAATTTGATGCTTTCCCCTGACTATAGATTAGCCTCTATGCATGCATCTCTGTGTGTTTGTGTGGAGTGCATTGATGAGTGGCTAATGAAACATGCAGCACGGCATAATTTGATGCACTCCTGAAGTGAGCACAGATTTCTAAATGTTTGTGTGGAAAAGGGTTGTTGGGGAGTGATAAATGACATGCTTTGTTTACATGTCTAACTAAGTGTTATATACTTTGTATATTAAGATTGTATACATCATGGATTTGTATTGACTGTCTTGGGCTAAATGATAAGTTGATTAAAGGTGGGGTAGGTAATTCTCTTCAGAAACACTTTTTGTTATATTCCATGGAATGCTCTTAACATCCCGATAGCAATGAATATAATAAATGCTTTGACAATAAATACATAAACAAAATGTATCTGTGGAAGCCGTGGCGCTGTAAAAAGCCCGACCAATCATCTGAGCCGGCCCGGCTAAAATAACTGCACAAACTTATCTCGTGCCCTCATTGGTCATGTACGCGTTCGTGTGTGTTGGAGGAGGGGCTCTGTAAGGAAGTCTGAAGGAAGAGGCAGATGTTTTTCGGCTGCGTAATTTCAAATTCTAGCGCACTCGAGCTGGTTTCTCCATTCTTACCTACCCTACCTTTAATGAATTACTCAATGGACTGAAAACGTATTCCTATATATTTTATTGATTCGTCATTTTGCCTCCAAATCAGAAGATTTTGCTGATGTTCTTAGTCATTAAACTGTCCATTTTGGAATTGGGAACCTTCTATTTTTACTATTTTCTGACATTTCGTAGAACAGACTCCACACATTGATTCATCAAGAAAAATATAAAAATGGCTGTGCTTGAATACTGCAATAATTTAGATGTATTTTATAAATATAGCTAGTTTCTTTTTTTTAAATAAAGATTTTGTCTCAATAGACATAGAATTTGAAGGTTCAGCATGCTTTAAGGATTGTGTAAAACAGACACAATGTTTAGTAAATATTTAAATGCAGCCAAAATTGTAGTTATTGTATCTCAATTTAACATTCGTACCTAGTATGTAATCATTCATTTGAAGTTGTCTTTGACTCCATATGCATGTGTCTAGGATGCCTTATAAAGAGTCTTCTTTTTACTGATCATATGTATGTTTTTGCTGCAGGTAACGGTGAACAGGGGAAGCCGTTTCCTCTGACAGAAACTGACCGGGTCGACCAGGCCTACAGGGAGAACGGATTCAACATTTACATCAGCGACCGGATCTCCCTCAATCGATCCGTCCCTGACATCCGCCATCCAAAGTGAGTCCTGTATCAGTGTGTTGAGTCTGTGTGCATTCCCGTAAATGTATCAAAACACTCTTAAAACACATCGAGGAGCTTACAATGTACAGTAGACAATGAATGTAAGTGTATTGGCTTGATGGTGAAATGTCAAAAGGCTCTGAAATGAATACTGTCATAATCAAAAGTATGGCTTTGATTACCTGATGGTGTGATATATCGATGTGTTGTTTTGTTTTATATCAACATTGCACTTTATTCAGTGACATAGGGAAGTTGTTGTGAGTTCTTTAGATTCGCCTGTGTATTTATCTTCATGGGAACAGCAGGTGGTGGAGAGAATGTTTGGTGCAGTATTTGTAAAGGATTACTGCTATGGCAGAAAGTATTTTTAAAGTTTGGGATTTTGAAGCCAGAATATAATCAGACACCTGTGAATCATGTGCTCACATTCAATCCCACAATGGCATTGAGGAAGGCCTTTAATCAAAGTGTTTTTATTTCGCCTGACAAGGACTATCATCTGGCTTTTGACCATTCCCATTATTTCATTTAACTTCAGTGTTTAGAAATCAGGTTTTCCTAGACTCTTGCTGTAACTTTCTGTGCTGGTAGGTATTCAGATTTATATAACAAATCCTTTGAAGTGCGTGTTTTGTTTATCCGGCTCGTAATTTAGTTCCAAAGCTGACTGATATATATGCATGAGATAATGTTAATCCTGGTTTTATGGTGGTTAAGTGTCTTATTTAATTAACTCATTTTGAAAACTCATACACGCACATATTTTGGGGCAAGTCTTACATTTTTTTTGCATATTGCAAGTTCAGATCCAAGTCCCTCAGGTCTCTACATGCTGCTCTTTACAATGACACAGCATTTCCTAAAATGTTCAAAGCTATTATTAGAGTTATTTATATTTAACCACGATCAAGCCTGTTGTTTACAAATCATTTTTTCTTTACAACACAAGGTCATTCTAGACACATTTCTAAAATAATGTTCAATAATGTTGTTGTTATATCTCAAGTCAAACCAAGCCTTCAGATGACTCAACTAAGTCAGGTCCTTCTCCACAGTCATTATCTGTGCAAGTGTTTATGTGACAACTGCTATAATCATAGTCCTGCCTTAGCCTGTAATTTCATTTGTTGCATGTAAATGGTGTTAAGGACGTCCATCTGGTTGCCAGACACTTCTCTCTCTCCTGTGACCAATCACATGGACACACCTGCTCTACCCAACCCCCCCCCGCCAGAAATTCCTTCACCCTGTGTGCCCTGCAGGCGTCTGCCTCTTGTTGATTGGCATGTTGTCAGTGCCTCCGAGGCAGCAAGTCCCAGACCTGCGAGTGACACATTCGATTTCTGCACTCTGACAAGATTTAATTGAAGCACACACACACAGCCAAACACACACACTCTCTGTCCCCTGTGGAATTGGACAGGGTTTGTTAAGAGTCACCAGCCTGCTGCCTACCTATCACTCCCTCTGCCTTTCTCCCAGCGTTCATATTTGAATGAATAACACGCAGGCCGATGTTCAACAAGGACATTGATCGACTGACACAGTTCACTACACACGCTCTCTCTCTCTCTCTCTCTCTCTCTCTCTCTCTCTCTCTCTCTCTCTGTCAGCGAGGGGCCATAACTCTCTCTCCATGATTAGCTCCTTTGCAGGCGTCCCGCCGCTCGCTACAATCACCGCGTACAAGGTGATCGCTGTAACCTGTCATCCGAGCACATGTTAACAACTACGGCAACTGATACCCGCTGTATGTGCTGCAAATAATCAAATAAAAGCAGCTTCTGATGGCCTCAATGCACAAGCGGCACTGAGCTCAATTGTGCTGACTTAAAGTTGTTGCTTCCACCTAATGACCTATTTAATCCCTGTTTTACTATTAGTATTTTATAATATTAACCTGGCCCAAGGAAGGAGGTTAGAGTTATAGCTTGGTTATTTATCGCTGTTGCATTGTCTTTCAGCAGGATTGAAGGAAAAAGACAGGCCCTATTTTCATGAAACTTTGTCGAAGGGTGTAGCATGGACTAAGGAAGAACACATTACAATTTGGAGCATATCTGAAACACAGGGCGGACACTCAAATTATAGTTTAATTTTTAGTTTTTTTTTAACACATTGACCAATACCACACATCTATTTTTTGTCATCTATGATGTTTCCACGTGACTATTTAAGGCTTATGAATTGGGGAAACAACGTTGCAATTCAGGAAATGCATCCACCTGAGGAGCATGTGAATGCACCATTGGCCCTTAGCAAAGGTAGAAGTAATGATATGTTGTTAAAGTGCCTCAAAGTCCAGATCTGAAGAACAACGAGCCAGACTAAAACCCACTTAATATCTCTCTCAACTGTCAATATTGGTTTCTTTTAATTATGATAACAAAGGATGAATTTGTTATTTCAACAACACTGTGATCCCTATCCCAGTCATTATGTTTGTCCAGACCTAACCAAATATCATGCATATCCATGTCATCAACAATTACTCAGGCATCATGTTTTAAAAGGGGATTTGTTGTTTGCATTACCTTTTATATGTTCTGGCAGGAGACAATGCCATGATCACAATATCTTCAAATCATCATTATTACAGGAGACTTGTGTGGTTGTATCCATGTGGAGCAATATTTTCCTTTGCTTCTGCTTTCAAGATGTCGATCATCTGTTTTATTATTAATGTATTATCTACATTATTTTGGTTGTATAATAGTAATATAATAACAAGATACAATTTGGTACCAAAACCAAAATGTGTTTAATTTATAAAACCAAATGGGCTCTTTCATTATTTATTTTGTTATCATCTCTTCGAGAGGCGAGCGAATACAATTTTCACTGTAATAGCTAAATGATAGAAAAAATAGATTGAATAACGGTTTCAGAGAAGATTGCTTGTGGATTTTAGAAAGCTGAGTAGAGCTGCTGTGTATCAGCCTTCTCAAACACATTCATCTGAGCACTGAATCCATATGTCACCTCACTGACCTGGCATCCGCTGAGCAGTCGATTGCATGATGAGGGTGTGAATGAAGTTGCTTCCTTCTCTTAATAAGGTGGATTAATAAAACATGGAGATGTTGATGTTGTTTTTTTGTTTGTTCCGTTAACTGTCAAGTGGGAACTAAGTTGTTTTTTTTTTACGTTTTTTTGTGTTTCTCTTATTTTCCTTCGATACCGTTATGATTGGCGGTGAATATGAAAATATGAAGGACAGACCATCTATTCCTATTTATTTTTATTTTCATAGAAAGCGGCAGGTAATATAAGACTATTTTCCTCTCCCTGCTCCTTTTCGGGTATGGTGTGTTTATAGAGACATGTTTTGTAAATAATTGTTATACATTAAGTTGTGCATACCATGAACCGAACAAATGAAAAAAATGAAAACAAATTAAATGAAATAGTAGTAAAATGGCCACCCTATTACATTGGGGGTATTTCTTTATTTTTTTCACTTTTCCTGTTTGCAGCTGTAAACCAAAGCTGTATGCAGAGAAGCTGCCCAACACCAGTATCATCATCCCGTTCCATAACGAAGGCTGGTCGTCGCTGCTGAGGACCGTTCACAGCGTGCTCAACCGCTCTCCTCCACAGCTCATCGCGGAGATCATCCTGGTCGACGACTTCAGCGACAAAGGTACAGAAGACACACACACATTACAGATAACATCTCCTCAGACTAGAAAAAGAGGTTGATTTATGTCACTTCTTTCTTTGTGTAATGGATATTTGAACAGCTATGACATCGATTTTTGATTCCACACTTATGGTTGAAAGTGTTGAAATTACACAGGGTTTCATGAGGCCCATGACCTGAGCATGTTATTATGGGTTATTGTGTGCAGATATATTTGTGGTACTGGATTTAGATATGAACATATATTTATTTGAGGGACTGAAGATAGTGGATCTTGGTGTGACTAAAGATTAAAGATGATTCAGTGAAACAATGTACAGTAGAGGGTATCGCTGGGTTTCCATTAGGGTCTTCTGTACACTTTTCTCATTATGTTCAATTATATTAATGCGATAAGTGAGATGTGTTAACCTTAGAAGAGTAAAGGCAATACACTGGCAGAAGAACAGTGGTATCTGTCAATTGAACGATCTGAGGCATCCAAAAGCCTCTGTGTGTAGCATTGGCTCTTTTTCCAGTTTCTAGTCAGAGGATCTCATATGTATTCCTGACTGTGCTGACAGGTGAGATAGCTCTCCATCTATCAGGGGGCTGAGAGAGTTTCCAAGCCGAATAACAGAAGAAAAGTTATCGATCAGCAGCAAAGAATCAATAACCACTTGGCAAAGGGCTCAGATGATGGCCTTCAAACATCCTCTGACTCCTCATGCACTTCTGAAACACTATCTCTTCAACCAATAGGCTTTTAGAACATTTTCAGTCTGTCTGACATCCTTACTCTCAGCCTTACAAAGCCATCCTAATTTGTTCAAGATTTGTCTCTAGAAACAAAAACCATCCATAATGAAACAGACTAAACCCCTGAGTTGTAAACTACATTGATCAGTGGACAATTGGAAACGTCTAAGCTTCATTTGACATGCTGATACTCTCTTTCTGCAACCTGTAGCTTGTAAATAACTACTTAAGCTTAATATTTATAATATTATATATAACATCTACACTCCATCTGCAACCTCAATGTGTATTTATGTCTGATACCCCAAAATATCCTTCTGAGCTTAATTTAGAGAACAAATGTCATGGTAGCAGGCAGCATTCTTACCCAAGACTAATCCAGTGAGTGGTGCAATTATCCAATCAGGTGTAGAGAAGAGTTATGTAAGATTATCTACTGAGCAGCTTACTTTAAATGAGGCATGTTTTAATGAGTCAGCTTTACCAACTATTAGGGCTCGCTCGGTTTAGAAACTGCACACTTTATCTGAGGACTATGTGAGACATTTTTGCAGCTAAAAAAAGTAGTATCAGTACAGTATTTTGCCTGATGGTATATACAACAACCTCAAGCAACACATGTATCAAAAATCTGTTTCCAAAGTTTCTGTGGTCATTTCTATAGAAGCCCAATGTTAAATGTTAAATAATGCTTGGACATATCTCTCTGCCCTGCAGTGAATCTATTTTATTGAGCTCTCTGACAGGCCACACAATACCCTAGCTTCGACCTAAAGTACATTTAATCGGCCTTAAATCTTTCTCTCACCCAAGCGAAGAAAGAAGAGACTTGGCGGCTCATATGCATTGTACCTGCTTTAGGCTATAATGCTTCACCACTTGACTGATATGGTATTCAATCCACAATCCCTATATTACAAACACTTTCCATGAATCAGTTTCCTTGAACTAGATTTAAAAAAGAAAAGAAGATAGTCTCATTATTCAGATATGATTCAAGAGTACTTTATTTTAGATGTACTCAAGTACACTAACAAGTGTGAGGGGTTTGTTGAGGCTCAGTTACAAGTACCCTACCAAGCCTTTTAAGTAGTGTGTGTTTCTATCTGCATGGTGTGAAGACTAAAGCCTGAATCTCACGATGTTAGGAGTCAATCCAAGCTGTTAGAACTTTGGTTAGGACAGTGAATATAGAACACTAATTTCCCAAATTCCAAGTTCTTTAAGTTACATTAACATTTGTTGCTCAACATCTTAAGGGAACTTGGCCAATCACAAGCTGCAGAAAAGGCTGAATTGTTGAATAAAAAATGCACATTCAATTGAGTCATTCAGAAAATAGATACCGGTACATGTTTTTACCTAGAAGAGTACATGATTGTTTGTATCCCTTTTTAGTTGCTGAGGAAAGGAAGTCGTCATTTAATGATGGCTCCCCAGTTATCAATGGAATGATAAAAATGAATTCATATCTTAAAAAAAAAGAAGATGTCTACTGCTTTGTGATCCGCTCTGGTCCACCCTTGTGAGCATGTGTGGCTTTACTTTTGTTTGTCTGTGGCTCTTCGGCAGCTCTTTGCAGTAAACATCTATTGTCCATTGTTGCATAGCGTTGTGTTTCTGTGTGTGTTTGTGTGGGTGTTTGTGTGCCTAGATTTGTCTCCTTTTTCACTCTCCCTTCACCAGCCCTCTGAAGAAAGTGTTTAATTCCTTGTTAATTAGTGCTCTCTGTCACGGTCCCTCGTTGAAGGATGTGTTTACCTCTCGTCTCCACGGTAATGAGATGTTCCGCTGCCTCAGACTCATTTAGAGGTTAACACCCATCAGAGCTCGGAGACCAAACTCTCCCGCTGCTCAGTGGTGTGGAAACAAAAAATGCCTAAAATAGATTTACAATAGCATAGTATCATTTCCATACATGTTTTAAACCAGTGATACATACACTAAACATATACTATATAGACACTATATCTCAAATGACTTACTATCAATGTGAAATTCCCATTTAAGGAGTACCTGCACACTGAAATCATTGGCTAAAGGAAAAAGAATAAGGATGAATGTAAAGAAAAAGGACCAGTGAAATATATTTACATATTAGATTCACATCTGTAGATATATCCTTGGGTAAAGAAGACATCTTCCTATCAATAGGTCACAAAATATACCACCCATATAAAATATCAGCTCTATTGTATATGCTCTCGTTTAGAGCTTTTAAACAATGAAACAAACCCTATAATGTTTCACTCTCAAATATGTAAGAGACTAGAAAAATCCAACATCATCACTTCCCGTCTACCCTCACACGTCCCCCTGGGTGGGGAGTAAAGAGTAACTCAGTTGTGTGAAAATCGCCTGAAACATGGGATGCATCTGGACCCTGTGTTGTTACGATGGATGGGAGCACATTACACAGCTGCAGGAGAGAGATTTAACCTCTGAAAGCCATCTGTTCTAACACTCCCTCTCTCTGCCACTGCTCTTTGATAAGATACAAGTCAGGCTGTAATTAAGGCTTCAGAGAAACAAGGACAAAGTAAACTTTAATCACCTCTTGCTGACCCGCTGGTATTACAATGTTGCAGAGCAGAATCCCGGCGGCTTCTTTGCAGAAAACCACAAATCAATACTCAGCTTTGAAACCTTGCATAATATATTAAGTGCATTGCAAAGCCGTAGAGAAAAAGTGATCTATTAGAATGTGAAGTGTGGTTCAGAGTTTCAGTTCAATTTCTGGTTTATACAGTCATTTACCAAGATGAGAAATTATTTTCGGTAGAACTTTATATTAAGGTACACAAATTAACCATCAACTAGTTGTTAATGAACATGTATATTAGCAGTATATTGAAGTGAAGTGAGCGGAGGAGCGGAGTGGTGTGGGAACATTTTGGACCATCATGTCTGATTCTTAAGCACTTGTACAGTTGCAAGAAAAAGAATGTGAATCCTTTGGAACTACCTGGATTTCTGCATAAATTGGTCATAACATGTGTTCTGATCTTCATCTAAGTCACAACAATAGACAAACACAGTCTGCTTAAGCTAAAACCACACAAACAATTATATGTTTTTATGTTTTTATTGAACACACCATGTAAACATTCACAGTGCAGGGTGGAAAAAGTATGTGAACCCTTGGATTTAATAACTGGTTGACCCTCCTTTGGCAGCAATAACCTCAACCAAACGTTTCCTATAGTTGCATATCAGACCTGCACAACGGTCAGGAGGAATTTTGGACCATCCCTCTTTACAAAGCTGATTTTGAATCGCTCTCTTGAGGTCATGCCACAGCATCTCAATTGGGTTGAGGTCA